AGTAAGTATATATACATTTTTAATTTTTTTTTTCGTATACACAACTAGTTACTCACTCTACTTGTAGTAGAGTGCATATATAGGTAGTAGTGCATATATACAGTGAAACTATATGTACAGTAGTAGTAGTAATAGTACAGTAGTAGTACGAGTAGTATATACAGTGAAGTAGTAGGAGTGCATATATACAGTAGGAGTGCATATATACAGTGAAACTATATGCCAGAAGTTTGTATAATGAAGCATTTCGCTAGTTGAAAGAGAAGGAATAACCAGTAAAATTAAATGTATATAATATACATTAGTTTTAATAAGAATAATATTCTGTAATTATGAATACTTGGTCATGAAATGCTTTTACTCAGTACAGTAAAATTTGATATAACAGGTTTAAATAATTTAGAGAAGAAGAATCAAGAGGAATGACAATTCATGTTTCAACGATGAGTACGTAACAAATATTGCGAGGCTACGATTCTATTCGGATTCAAAACTCGGGAATCTGATTGGCCAGACATAATAAGTACAGAGTTGATAAAAATGTCTGTCCAGGACCGTCGCCAGTCATTATTTCGTATACCCCACAAATAATATCGTCATGTCTGGTCGTGGAAAAGGTGGCAAAGTAAAGGGGAAGAGCAAGACTCGGTCCAGTCCGTGCTGGTCTTCAGTTTCCTGTAGGTCGTATCCATCGTCTTCTGCGAAAGGGAAATTATGCAGAAAGAGTTGGTGCTGGAGCTCCAGTGTATCTTGCTGCAGTTTTAGAATATTTGGCAGCTGAGGTTCTTGAGTTGGCCGGTAATGCTGCTAGAGATAACAAGAAGACCAGAATAATTCCAAGACATCTGCAGCTGGCCATCAGAAACGACGAGGAGTTGAATAAATTACTCTCTGGCGTCACAATTGCACAAGGTGGAGTTCTACCCAATATCCAGGCTGTTCTACTTCCCAAACCGAAAAGAAAGCATAATTCCTACTTCCCCTAACGCTTCAAAAAAAAAAAAAAAGGCCCTTTTAAGGGCCAGAAAATGTACGAAGAAGAGAATGCTTAATTGCTTATACTGAAAATTGCAGCATACGTTGGTAAATCTTTTCCATACATATATTTCATTCAAAATTCGCACAAAGATGTGCTCCCAGGACACATTCGTATATATTTTCATGTACATTATAAAACATTAACTCATGGGACTCGGAAAGAACGGCTAATGCTAAACTATAGGTGAAGGGAGTTTAAGGCGCATCTGAGAAGTGGCGCCATCTTGCTGTATACATTTGTACTGAAAAGTCGTTCTATTCTTAACTTTCGTAAGTTATTACAACGCACAGTTCGGTGTTTTAAGCCCCTCTTTCAGAAATTACAAATAATTTAATTAGATGGAATAATTGCTATCACAATAGATTTTTATTTAAAAGAATGATCTAATGTAAAGTAAAACAAATTAATGTAAAAAAAAAGACGGAATACATGATAGCAATTATATTGAATCTTATTAAATTATTTGTATGGCCCTGAAAAGGGCCTTTTTTTTTTTACTTTGAACAAATTATGATTTTAAGCTCTCTCTCCTCGAATTCGACGGGCCAGCTGAATGTCTTTGGGCATGATGGTGACTCTCTTGGCGTGAATAGGCGCACAAGTTGGTATCTTCGAACAATCCTACGAGGTAAGCTTCGCTGGCTTCCTGAAGAGCCATAACTGCTGAGCTCTGAAATCGGAGATCGGTCTTAAAATCTTGAGCAATTTCTCTAACTAAGCGCTGGAAAGGCAATTTGCGGATAAGTAATTCCGTTGATTTCTGATAACGACGACGAATTTCTCTCAAAGCAACAGTACCTGGTCTGTAACGATGAGGTTTTTTAACACCTCCGGTTGCTGGTGCGCTTTTACGTGCAGCTTTGGTGGCCAGCTGCTTCCTAGGAGCTTTACCTCCGGTACTTTTCCTTGCAGTCTGCTTTGTACGAGCCATATCGAGAGGTCACGATTTCGTTAAAAAACGAGAAAATGTGCCCGCGAAATTTAGACCTGGCCTATTTATCAATTTTATTTCCAATCACGTGACTAAGGAGACCTATTGCAGACGAAAGATTTCTAAGCGCCACCTAGCATTATTGTATAACATTAAAGTAACTCAGAAATTTGATTCATTTCTCTGCAAAACTGTGAGCGAGATGGCTGAAGAAACTGCTACTGTTTCCGCTACCCCTGTGGCTGCTACGCCAAAAAAGGCGAAGAAAAGTCCGAGTAAGAAACCGAAAGCGCTTGCCGTCGCATCCTAAGGTTTCAGCAATGGTCGTGGAGGCTATTTCTAGTTTGAAGGAACGCGGTGGCTCATCTCTGCAAGCTATTAAGAAGCATATTGCATCACATCACAAGGTAGATATTGACCGTTTGACACCTTTCATCAAGAAGTACTTGAAGAGTGCTGTGGCGGGTGGAAACCTGGTTCAGACAAAAGGTAAAAGGAGCTACCGGTTCATTTAAAGTTAAGCGCATCCGGTCAGAAAGGTAAAGAGTCAGGAAAGCAGCAGAAAAAAAGCCGAAGAAAAAAGCAGCTGCATCATCAGCCAAGAAAGGCTAAACCAGCTGCTAAGAAGCCAGCTAAGGCTAAAGAAGAGAAAAAGAAACCTGCCACTAAGAAAGTTAGTGTTAAAAAAGGCGAGTAAAGCAAAAAGTCCCGAAGAAAGCTGGTAAAGGCAGCGAAGCCTAAGCCTCCAAAAGCAAAAAAACTTAAAGCTGCTAAAAAGGCGACACCAAAGAAAAGCAAGAAGTAAGGGATTGTGTACTTGATAATGTACAAATGAAAAAAAAAAAAAAAAAAGGCTCTTTTCAGAGCCATACAAATTTTAAAAAAGAAATGCCTTTATTGCTTCCTGAAGAAGAGAGTCCTATGTGTGACCACTCTATATATTGATACTTTTTTTCAAAGATTTAAATTGAGAATTTTTTTTAAAGTTTAAAATGTTGTATTTAATCTGGTTACGTGCTTGTTGTGAAAATTTTAAATTATACGTCTTTTTTTTTTTTAATTTAGAGACATAAAAGCAATTAAATTTATTGTGTTAGAATTCAGATACATAAAAAGAACATTTAATGCTAATTTTAATTTGAAAATGTGACTCAAGAGAAAAGCATGAGGTGAAATTATATGACAGCAATAAAGGCATTTCTAAATTTTAAGATTTGTATGGCCCTGAAAAGGGCCTTTTTTTTTTTTTTTTTTTAAAGAGCAGGGTGTGGGGAAAGTAAAGGTCTCTAACCACCAAATCCGTAGAGTGTACGTCCCTGTCTCTTTAACGCATAAACGACATAAACGACATCCATGGCAGTGACAGTTTTCCTTTTTGCATGCTCAGTATAGGTAACTGCATCTCGAATAACATTTTCCAAGAAAACTTTAAGTACTCCTCTTGTCTCCTCATAGATGAGGCCCGAGATACGATTTTACGCTTTACACCGCCACGTCTTGCCAAACGCCTAATTGCTGGTTTGGTGATTCCTTGGATGTTATCTCTTAACACTTTGCGATGCCTTTTTGCACCCCCTTTGCCAAGACCTTTACCACCTTTTCCACGGCCAGACATTTTCTGCTAGGTAAAATTCTACGAATGTAACTTTCAAGAATAAATTCAGATATACTGCCGTCGACCCCCAGACGCACGCATTTTTATGCTTTTTGTCACGTGACGAAATTAGTGTCTGTTCCGACCAATAAGAAGAGAAATTATTAGGAGGGTGATAGAATTACAAACAATTAATGTCATTTCCATCCCTGTCTATGCTCCCTAGAATATTTTCCCTAGTTCTTTTAACAGTTTTCTATAATACTTACGGTATTATAATCCAAAAGAGTTCTGAAGTACATGAAATTTTATTCCTGCAGGATGAATGAACTAACTCCGCCCACACAACAGGGAAAAAAAATGTAATAATCATAGAATAGAATATATTAAAATTTCGGTCGTTGTCGAAGCCCTAGAGAAAGCTACTCAAACACTGTGTTGATTAATAATTAAGGAATTTGAGTTCACTACACAGATATTAAAATATTGTATATTTAAGTAGAGACAAAATATGAAATACCGCTGTCTGTCATCGTAAATGTAGCATGTGTAAACTACGTGGTATTTAATATAAAGGCAATGCCAATGTTATTTACATCTACGTTATTATATACTTATATTAGGGGAAGAGGTATCATAAAGTATAAAGTAAGGTTCTTCCCTTTTTTTTTTATTTTAAGAATTTTTAATATACAGTCAAGAACTTTCAAGTTTTATTTATATTTACCTTATTTTCTGCACAATATACAAGCTTGCATTTCTTCAATTGTAATATAGTACAGGTTTCCTATATATATAAAGACAAAAAAAAAAAGGTATTTTAAATGATAATTATTACTAAGGGAAGCATAAAAATTTGCAAGGGGACAAAAAAGTGTCAACAGCACGCGGTGTTCCCAGGTGGTCACCCTCCCAAGTACTGACCGCGCCCGATGCTGCTTGACTTCGGTGATCGGACGAGAACCGGTACTTTCACGAGAACCGGTACTTTCAGCATGGTATGGCCGTTGACGCTTACAAATAGCGAAATAAACAATATGTAAGTAACCCAAAATTCGAAGTTTTAGAGTATTACTTCATTTTGTGCACGTCTGTCTGTCTGTCATATACTTTTATCAATAAGAGGGGTTTTATTATCCGTCATAAGTACTTCCCATTGGAAAAGAGATTTCCCCCCCCCAAGGGAAGAACAAGTAAAAAAAAAAAATCAATAAATTAGAAATTTTAAAAAATGTGGCTCAAAAACTATAATCCAGAATATCAGTAATATGAAATTGTAATAATAATTTGTATATATATGTATTATAATGAACCTTTTCTCTCCAAGATAGGCTGTATTAGAACGTTTCTCATTGGATGGAAATGAAAAGAATGAAATTCAATAAATATGCTGCATCCAATGTGCACTTTTCAGTTCATTCGAAGACTGTTAAAAAATGCCTCCTCAAGCATCTGGGAAAGCTGTAAAGAAGGCCGGAAAGGCACAGAAAGCTGTCCGAGCTGGTGACAAGAAAAAGAGGAAGAAGCGCAGGAAGGAATCTTTCGCTATTTACATCTACAAAGTTTTGAAACAAGTTCACCCTGACACTGGCATCTCGAGTAAGGCTATGTCTATCATGAATTCATTCGTTAATGACATCTTCGAAAGAATTGCAGCTGAATCTTCTCGCTTAGCTCATTACAACAAGAGGAGTACTATCACTAGCCGAGAAATACAAACTGCAGTACGTCTATTGTTGCCTGGTGAACTGGCAAAACATGCTGTTTCGGAAGGAACCAAAGCTGTCACCAAGTACACCAGCTCTAAGTAAATTTTCAAAGCTTTCCCCATCAAAAAAGGCCCTTTTCAGGGCCAGAATATGATAAAGGTTAGCTGTTACCTGCTTATCCTTAAATCACTCATTGTTCAATTTATAATTTCATATTGGCATTTTTAAAATTAATTCACACTCTTTGCAAAAGAAATTGATCATATATATTTCAGCTCTACAAGTCATCATCTTTATCCTCATTGCTCTGCATCCAATTTCTTATCTTCAAAATGAGGATCTAATACACACACAATAACCGAATAAGGAAAAATTGTACTTTAGCAGTTAGTCCCAGCTCACTTATATACACACTGCTTTCCGGAAATCAGCCTTAATACATTTCAATGCAGGTGGTTTTTCATAAGTTTGCTATTTATCAAAATGTATGCATATCAGTGTCATAGTTTTCAGGTGTACGTATCACGAATCGTTTCACTAGCTCAGTCACAGCCTTTCTCCGAGTAACTGGAACGAAAACATTCAATGGTATGCAAAGCATAGCAAGTGCTGGCGGGACAGGAAACTGGCTAGCCTGCCCAGACGGGACAGTGGTTAGCGAAGCTAACTGCCGGGCCGGAAGGCCCGGGTTCGAATCCCAAAGGGGGGCAGGAAGGAAGGAAGGTAGGGGGGGGGGGTGGGGATATCATCTGGATGAAATTGCTTCTCCGCAAATAAATCATATTTTTTTAATTAAAAAAAATTAATTAAATATTTAAAAAATTCAGCTTTTGCCGGTTTATAAATAATAAACTATGATGCATCACAAAATGCTATCTTTTGTCACTGCTTTGCTTTCATAAATCCTCGCATGTTTCGCAAACGGTTTGACCACAGCCTTTCTCCGAGCCTATCGAAAGAATACATTCAACAAAGGTAAGATATAAGGAACATTTCTTCTCTTCGTGGCCACATTTATAATTTATAGACTTATTTTTCACATTTGCCGCATTAGAAAATACAGTCGTTTCCTCAGTTTCAGAACATATCATTTCCTTCGTTGCCACATTTATAATTTGTGGACTTACTTGTCGCATTAGAAAATACATTCATCTCCTCATCGACTTCAAAAACTTTTCATTCACTTCGCTATCGCATTAGAAAATACAGTCGTTTCCTCAGTTTTTCATTGATTCTACAACTTAATACAAATGTGACATTTCTGAAACCATTTTTCATTAAAAAAAAACCATATTTAAACATTTTTATTGATTAAAAATACATATTTTGACAACATTTCATACCACGAACATTGAAATTTCATGCCACAAATCCGATATTTCATCCACAAACAATAAAAAAAAGAAACCGCACTAAAAAAATAATATTTTAACAACATACAAATAGGTCACATTTCATTTCTTCTCTCTCTCTAAAGTGGTTCTGCTGTGAACCCATCCAATAGCAAAAACATCAATCAAGTTCAGTTCATTTTCATTGATTCTAGAACTTAGTACAAATGTGACATTTCTGAAACCATTTTTCATTAAAAAAACCATATTTAAACATTTTTATTGATTAAAAATACATATTTTGACAACATTTCATAGATTTCATGCCGCAAATCCGATATTTCATACCACAAACAATAAAAAAAGAAACAGCCTCTAAAAATACATATTTTAACAACATACAAATAGGTCACATTTCATTTTTCTCTCTCTCTATCCATCAATCAATAACAAGTGAGAAATTGCTTTTAAATGAATTTTTGACATTAAATGAGCTTTTGAGTAAACTTCAAATATTCTCAAATGAACCGATAATGATCACATCAATGAATCATCCTGCTGAATCCGCTCAGAACATGCATTAATTTCATTAATAAGACATACTCAGTTTTTCATGTTTCATTTTTTTCAGTGTAATGCAGTTTCAGTCCATAACATTTATCTTTCATGATCCCAAAATTACAGTTTATCTTTCAACATGCATACCTTCAAGGCACTGATGCACTAAAATAAATACACATTTTTTCATATACACAGCAAAGTATTCACATGTACATACATAGTAAAGTATTCAGGGTTTTCATATACATCGTAAATACGAAAATACGAAGTATACAAATAAAGATGACATCAAATAAATATTTTTAACATAAAAAAATATTTGATACAAATGAAATACAAATACATAGCATGAAAGATGCACTATATTAAGTGGAAGACTTCACCAAGCATTTAGAATTATGGGATATTATTTTTTTCACAAAACAATTCTTATTATAAACAATAAACATTTACACAACAGGAAAAAAAAATTACAAGACATTTCATACGAAAAACCTGGTCAGGCAAAACATAAACAATGAACACTAAGAAGGAAAAAAATTGTTTTGGCAAATTGCTTTCTTTCATCATACAAATATTCATATTACTTATAGACAGCTATTAATATTAATATTACTTATTACAAATCGAAAATATAATCTTAAATGAACTTACCTTCCAATAAAAACTATATTCTTTAGTTCAATATCCTACATTTGGTGGAATTAAAACATCAAACATCACGTGCACCATCTTGCTACACTTGTCTGACTTGATCTGACCACTTTATCAGCTGAGGGGTCACTTCAGGACAATAGCATTGTTTTGAGGAATGAATTCTATTGGATGTTTCCCACCCACAAAACATATATTGAGGGATATTGTATTTCAATAGCTATTTATAGACAGTGTAAGTGGCAACAGTTTTATTTCCTCACTAAATGCCAACAGAGAGTGATGATTAAAGTGCATTCCTGCAATATGTTTTGATTCTGTGTTATATTATGTGTGACTTGATTTAGTGTAGAAATAAAATGTATAAAACCTTTTGTTTGTCTTTTTTTCCCAACATTTATGTAACTAAGTATTTTCAATGAAAGACAGCCATACCTATAGCAACTTACTTGGATAGTTATTTATTATTGCTTCTCTGAAAAGTTATTGTTTTAACATTTCGTAAATTGGCTAATGCATTGACAGGATTACTTAAAATTTATGAATTATTAATTTCAGTATCTGATCTTTGTGAACATTTAGTTCTAAATTACTTACTTTGCATCTTTACTGATAATTTTTCAGCAGCTAAATGCACGAAAATACTAGGCGTGTGTGATATGAATTGAAGAACTACCAAGTTCAGTCAATTAATCAGTGTACACACACATCAGAAACTTAACAATATTTATTCAATGAATACTACTTCACTGTTCCGAAAAATAGAGTTCAATAAATTAACTGAGAAATAAATTTAAGAGATTTCATATAAACAAATTCTGCCAAACTACCTCAGTGCAAGGCAAAAAATATAGGCAATTGAAGAAGATGGAAAACAAAAAAACAAAAAAAAAAAAAAAAAGATACATTCATTAAAACTTTTCATTCACTTCGCTATCGCATTAGAAAATACAGTCGTTTCCTCAGTTTTTCATTGATTCTACAACTTAATACAAATGTGACATTTCTGAAACCATTTTCATTCATTAAAAAAACCATATTTAAACATTTTTATTGATTAAAAATACATATTTTGACAACATTTACAAAAGACATTTCATGATTTTATCCAATAGCAAAAAACATCAATCAATAACAATTGCAAGAAATTGGGTAATATTCACTAAACACTGCACGCATTCTGGGAAATGTGAGATGATTCCATCTGCATTTTAAATGAGCTTTTGAGTAAATTCTTCAAATATTCTAATTATTACTCAAATGAGAACCGATAATGATCACATCAATGAATCATCCTGCTGAATCCGCTCAGAACATGCATGTAATATGATTAATAAGACTATTCAGTTTTTCATTGTTTCATATTTTCAGTAATGCAGTTTTCATCAGTAATCAGTAAATGCAGTTTCATCAGTTCATCATATCCATAACATTTATCTTTCATGATGCATACCAAGCGTTTCAAAATTACAGTTTTATCTTTCAACATGCATACCTTCAAAGACATTGATGCACTATCAAATAAATACAAAATTTTTCATATACACAGCAAAGTATTCACATGTACATACATAGTAAAGTATTCAGGGTTTTCATATACATCGTAAATACGAAGTATACAAATAAAGATGACATCAAATAAATATTTTTAACATAAAAAAATATTTGAATACAAATGAAATACAAATACATATACGCAGTAAAGTCTGTCTGACATGAAGATGCACTATATTAAGTGGAAGACTTCACAAAGCATTTAGAATTATGGGATATTATTTTTTTCACAAAACAATTATTATTATAAACAATAAACATTTACACAACAGGAAAAAAAAAATTACAAGACATTTCATACGAAAAACCTGGTCAGGCAAAACATAAACAATGAACACTAAGAAGGAAAAAAATTGTTTGGCAAATTGCTTTCATCATACAAATATTCATATTACTTATAGACAGCTATTAATATTCATATTACTTATTACAAATTGAAAATATAATCTTAAATGAACTTACCTTCCAATAAAAACTATATTTAGTTCAATATCCTACATTTGGTTGAATTAAAACATAAAACATCACATGCACCATCTTGCTACACCTGTATGACCTGATCTGACCACTTTATCAGCTGAGGGGTCACTTCAGGACAATAGCATTGTTTTGAGGAATGAATTCTATTGGATGTTTCCCACCCACAAACATATATTGAGGGATGTTGTATTTCAATAGCTGTTTATAGACAGTGTAAGTGGCAACAGTTTTATTTCCTCACTAAATGCCAACAGAGAGTGATGATTACAGTGCATTCCTGCAATATGTTTTGATTCTGTGTTATATTATGTGTGACTTGATTTAGTGTAGAAATAAAATGTATAAAACCTTTTGTTTGTCTTTTTTTTTCCAACATTTATGTAACTAAGTATTTTCAATGAAAGACAGCCATACCTATAGCAACTTACTTGGATAGTTATTTATGTTTAAAGAATTTAAATATATATATGCAGATTTGCTGCAGCACAGCATTTCTTCTAATCAGTAGGGGTATAGCTTCTCTGAAAAGTTATTGTTTTAACATTTAGTAAATTGGCTAATGCATTGACAGGATTACTTAAAATTTATGAATTATTAATTTCAGTATCTGATCTTTGTCAACATTTAGTTCTAAATTACTTACTTTCCGTCTTTACTGATAATTTTTCAGCAGCTAAATGCACGAAAATACTAGGCATGTGTGATATGAATTGAAGAACTACCAAGTTCAGTCAAGTAATCAGTGTACACACACATCACAAACTTAACAATATTTATTCAATGAATACTACTTCACTGTTCCGAAAAATAGAGTTCAATAAATTAACTGAGAAATAAATTTAAGAGATTTCATATAACCAAATTTGCCAAACTACCTCAGTGCAAGGCAAAAAATATAGGCAATTGAAGAAAATGGAAAACAAACAACAACAAAAAAAAAAAAAAAAAAAAAGGAGAGATTGCATTATGTTTTCTTTTCTAAAGCTCAATAACTGTTAAAAATGTCAAGAAATCAACTACGTTTTCGGTATGTACAGCACTTACAGCTTCTTTAGGGATTTTGTTGTAACTGAGAAGGGTTTGAAGTGGATGAGATGTTCTGGCGCCAGTGAGGAGTTCCCCTGACTGGCTAATAGGTAGATTTCGCTTCGGGTATCTTGGATGCAACCGGGATAGAACACTAAATTGGAATTAAGGAGTTCTTAAATTCTCTTTTGGTTCACAATATATTCATTCTTGTGCAGATTTTTCTACAGCACTTGTGCTTACCTATTCTGGCGAAGAAATGTTGACCGTGTACTGTGTACCTTTTATACATTCATATTATTTAATTTTTTTTTTTTTTTAAAGTAAGTATATATACATTCAAGTAAGTATATATACATTTTTAATTTTTTTTTTCGTATACACAACTAGTTACTCACTCTACTTGTAGTAGAGTGCATATATAGGTAGTAGTGCATATATACAGTGAAACTATATGTACAGTAGTAGTAGTAATAGTACAGTAGTAGTACGAGTAGTAGTATATACAGTGAAGTAGTAGGAGTGCATATATATACAGTAGGAGTGCATATATACAGTGAAACTATATGCCAGAAGTTTGTATAATGAAGCATTTCGCTAGTTGAAAGAGAAGGAATAACCAGTAAAATTAAATGTATATAATATACATTAGTTTTAATAAGAATAATATTCTGTAATTATGAATACTTGGTCATGAAATGCTTTTACTCAGTACAGTAAAATTTGATATAACAGGTTTAAATAATTTAGAGAAGAATCAAGAATCAAGAGGAATGACAATTCATGTTTCAACGATGAGTACGTAACAAATATTGCGAGGCTACGATTCTATTCGGATTCAAAACTCGGGAATCTGATTGGCCAGACATAATAAGTACAGAGTTGATAAAAATGTCTGTCCAGGACCGTCGCCAGTCATTATTTCGTATACCCCACAAATAATATCGTCATGTCTGGTCGTGGAAAAGGTGGCAAAGTAAAGGGGAAGAGCAAGACTCGGTCCAGTCGTGCTGGTCTTCAGTTTCCTGTAGGTCGTATCCATCGTCTTCTGCGAAAGGGAAATTATGCAGAAAGAGTTGGTGCTGGAGCTCCAGTGTATCTTGCTGCAGTTTTAGAATATTTGGCAGCTGAGGTTCTTGAGTTGGCCGGTAATGCTGCTAGAGATAACAAGAAGACCAGAATAATTCCAAGACATCTGCAGCTGGCCATCAGAAACGACGAGGAGTTGAATAAATTACTCTCTGGCGTCACAATTGCACAAGGTGGAGTTCTACCCAATATCCAGGCTGTTCTACTTCCCAAAAAAACCGAAAAGAAAGCATAATTCCTACTTCCCCTAACGCTTCAAAAAAAAAAAGGCCCTTTTAAGGGCCAGAAAATGTACGAAGAAGAGAATGCTTAATTGCTTATACTGAAAATTGCAGCATACGTTGGTAAATCTTTTCCATACATATATTTCATTCAAAATTCGCACAAAGATGTGCTCCCAGGACACATTCGTATATATTTTCATGTACATTATAAAACATTAACTCATGGGACTCGGAAAGAAAGGCTAATGCTAAACTATAGGTGAAGGGAGTTTAAGGCGCATCTGAGAAGTGGCGCCATCTTGCTGTATACATTTGTACTGAAAAGTCGTTCTATTCTTAACTTTCGTAAGTTATTACAACGCATAGTTCGGTGTTTTAAGCCCCTCTTTCAGAAATTACAAATAATTTAATTAGATGGAATAATTGCTATCACAATAGATTTTTATTTAAAAGAATGATGTAATGTAAAGTAAAAACAAATTAATATAAAAAAAAAGACGGAATACATGACAGCAATTATATTGAATCTTATTAAATTATTTGTATGGCCCTGAAAAGGGCCTTTTTTCTTTTTACTTTGAACAAATTATGATTTTAAGCTCTCTCTCCTCGAATTCGACGGGCCAGCTGAATGTCTTTGGGCATGATGGTGACTCTCTTGGCGTGAATAGGCGCACAAGTTGGTATCTTCGAACAATCCTACGAGGTAAGCTTCGCTGGCTTCCTGAAGAGCCATAACTGCTGAGCTCTGAAATCGGAGATCGGTCTTAAAATCTTGAGCAATTTCTCTAACTAAGCGCTGGAAAGGCAATTTACGGATAAGTAATTCCGTTGATTTCTGATAACGACGAATTTCTCTCAAAGCAACAGTACCTGGTCTGTAACGATGAGGTTTTTTAACACCTCCGGTTGCTGGTGCGCTTTTACGTGCAGCTTTGGTGGCCAGCTGCTTCCTAGGAGCTTTACCTCCGGTACTTTTCCTTGCAGTCTGCTTAGTACGAGCCATATCGAGAGGTCACGATTTCGTTAAAACGAGAAAATGTGCCCGCGAAATTTAGACCTGGCCTATTTATCAATTTTATTTCCAATCACGTGACTAAGGAGACCTATTGCAGACGAAAGATTTCTAAGCGCCACCTAGCATTATTGTATAACATTAATGTAACTCAGAAATTTGATTCATTTCTCTGCAAAACTGTGAGCGAGATGGCTGAAGAAACTGCTACTGTTTCCGCTACCCCTGTGGCTGCTACGCCAAAAAAGGCGAAGAAAAGAAGAAAAGTCCGAGTAAGAAACCGAAAGCGCTTGCCGTCGCATCCTAAGGTTTCAGCAATGGTCGTGGAGGCTATTTCTAGTTTGAAGGAACGCGGTGGCTCATCTCTGCAAGCTATTAAGAAGCATATTGCATCACATCACAAGGTAGATATTGACCGTTTGACACCTTTCATCAAGAAGTACTTGAAGAGTGCTGTGGCGGGTGGAAACCTGGTTCAGACAAAAGGTAAAGGAGCTACCGGTTCATTTAAAGTTAAGCGCATCCGGTCAGAAAGGTAAAGAGTCAGGAAAGCAGGAAAAAAAGCCGAAGAAAGCAGCTGCATCATCAGCCAAGAAAGCTAAACCAGCTGCTAAGAAGCCAGCTAAGGCTAAAGAAGAGAAAAAGAAACCTGCCACTAAGAAAGTTAGTGTAAAAAAAAGGCGAGTAAAGCAAAAAGTCCTAAGAAAGAAAGCTGGTAAAGGCAGCGAAGCCTAAGCCTCCAAAAGCAAAAAAACTTAAAGCTGCTAAAAAGGCGACACCAAAGAAAAGCAAGAAGAAGTAAGGGATTGTGTACTATAATGTACAAATGAAAAAAAAAAAAAAAAAAAGGCTCTTTTCAGAGCCATACAAATTTTAAAAAAGAAATGCCTTTATTGCTTCTGAAGAAGAGAGTCCTATGTGTGACCACTCTATATATTGATACTTTTTTTCAAAGATTTAAATTGAGAATTTTTTTTAAAGTTTAAAATGTTGTATTTAATCTGGTTACGTGCTTTAAAATTTTAAATTATACGTCTTTTTTTTTTAATTTAGAGACATAAAGCAATTAAATTTATTGTGTTAGAATTCAGATACATAAAAAGAACATTTAATGCTAATTTTAATTTGAAATGTGACTCAAGAGAAAAGCATGAGGTGAAATTATATGACAGCAATAAAGGCATTTCTAAATTTTAAGATTTGTATGGCCCTGAAAAGGGCCTTTTTTTTTTTTTTTTTTTTTAAAGAGCAGGGTGTGGGGAAAGTAAAGGTCTCTAACCACCAAATCCGTAGAGTGTACGTCCCTGTCTCTTTAACGCATAAACGACATCCATGGCAGTGACAGTTTTCCTTTTTGCATGCTCAGTATAGGTAACTGCATCTCGAATAACATTTTCCAAGAAAACTTTAAGTACTCCTCTTGTCTCCTCATAGATGAGGCCCGAGATACGCTTTACACCGCCACGTCTTGCCAAACGCCTAATTGCTGGTTTGGTGATTCCTTGGATGTTATCTCTTAACACTTTGCGATGCCTTTTTGCACCCCCTTTGCCAAGACCTTTACCACCTTTTCCACGGCCAGACATTTTCTGCTAGGTAAAATTCTACGAATGTAACTTTCAAGAATAAATTCAGATATACTGCCGTCGACCCCAGACGCACGCATTTTTATGCTTTTTGTCACGTGACGAAATTAGTGTCTGTTCGACCAATAAGAAGAAATTATTAGGAGGGTGATAGAATTACAAACAATTAATGTCATTTCCATCCCTGTCTATGCTCCCTAGAATATTTTCCTAGTTCTTTTAACAGTTTTCTATAATACTTACGGTATTATAATCCAAAAGAGTTCTGAAGTACATGAAATTTTATTCCTGCAGGATGAACTAACTCCGCCCACACAACAGGGAAAAAAAATTAATAATCATAGAATATATATTAAAATTTCGGTCGTTGTCGAAGCCCTAGAGAAAGCTACTCAAACACTGTGTTGATTAATAATTAAGGAATTTGAGTTCACTACACAGATATTAAAATATTGTATATTTAAGTAGAGAGAGACAAAATATGAAATACCGCTGTCATCGTAAATGTAGCATGTGTAAACTACGTGGTATTTAATATAAAGGCAATGCCAATGTTATTTACATCTACGTTATTATATACTTATATTAGGGGAAGAGGTATCATAAAGTAAGGTTCTTCCCTTTTTTTATTTTAAGAATTTTTAATATACAGTCAAGAACTTTCAAGTTTTATTTATATTTACCTTATTTTCTGCACAATATACAAGCTTGCATTTCTTCAATTGTAATATAGTACAGGTTTCCTATAATATAAAGACAAAAAAAAAAGTATTTTAAATGATAATTATTACTAAGGGAGCATAAAAATTTGCAAGGGGACAAAAAAGTGTCAACAGCACGCGGTGTTCCCAGGTGGTCACCCTCCCAAGTACTGACCGCGCCCGATGCTGCTTGACTTCGGACCAAGGACCAAGGCGTTTGAATTACGGAGTACCTTTGCAATTAAATGCAATTACCTCCACATCTTCGTTCAGGGAAATTGGAATGATTAAGAGAAAGCATTAGCTAAAGTTTGTGAAAGAAGCAGTTATGCAAAAAGACAAGAATCGATAAGGGTCCTCTTGTTTGGACACAGGAGGAGAGCGCAGGCGTTGATCACAATGGAGGGCGTTTAGCCCCCCTCGCGAGTCAACCGCTTGCTCTCAGATACAAAGGAGGACAGCCAGCACGCATGGGCGTGAATGGTTGCCATGGATACGAAACAGCTGAAGGAGAGAGGCGCGGAAAAGCCGGGCCCCGGGAAAGGTAAGGTAGATGTATTCAAGCTTTTAGCTAAGAGCCTTGGGGTGGTCGGGGTGGGGGGACGAGGTCATTGACCGAAGAAGGCGAGAGAGTCGAAAAGCGCTTGCTACGGGAGAGAATAAAAAATAATCTGGAAGGAGTAAGCTTTGAGTAGCGAAGAACCAGGGGGTGAATTGAAGAAATGCAGCTTGTATTGCAGAGATGAAGCTTTAGCTAGAGGAAAAAAGATTAATAATTTAATAAATTTTTAGTTTGAAATTATACTAATTCTTATTGAGGTTTTAGCTTTATAGAGATAAAAATAATTAAAGAGTGATATGTTTTAGATGGTTTAGGTATTTGGAATTATAAAGTAATTACATTTTACATTCTTCTGGCAGTAGAGGTCTTGGCAAGAGTGGGTATTAAATAAAAAATATAGCAGCACGGTGATGGATTCGCGAAAAGCTATGCCAGATTAGGTCTGGGGGTATAGGTTAAATGTAGCTGGGTTAGGCCCGTGAAGTACTGAGAGTTTAGTCAGATGAGGTTCCCCGATCAAGCAAACAAACCCTTTTAGGCCGCCTAGGGAAGATGTTATAAGATCTGTCCATGACAGCCCTAGGTCTTTTAGCAGAACTAGGTTCAGCTGGGTTATAGGCAGGAATGTTGTGCAGGACCGGGTTGCTAATCTGTTCAATTCTATTGAAAAATTTTGTCGAAATGTGCTTGAAATAAGCATCCAGGGGAAGAATTTTGAGGTCAGAATGGAGTACTTCATTGCGTACATACCAGTGAGCATTAGTGAGGATGCGAAGCGTGACGTTTTGAAAGACTTGGAATCTTCTTGAGATGTGAGTTAGCTGCAGTGGCCCAGATGGGTGCGGCGCGTACGTCAGTATTGGCATGATGGTGCTTGTATAGAGTAGGAGCTTGTTGCGGAGAGACAGATGGCTGGATCGGGATATTAAGTTGCATTAGTTGGTTCCTGGTGGTTTTAGCTTTGCTTATTGCGTATGAGATATGGACGCCCCAGATTAGCTTCGCATCCAGGTAAAAACTCCGAGATATTTGTAGTAGTCCACCCAAGGTACGTTTTCATTGTAGAGCTTGAGTGGTTGGAGTTGGCTGTGAACATTCCTTTTTCTGGAAAAGAAAACGGTGGCAGCACTTTTTGCAACATTAATTTTGATCTTCCAGTCAACGAGCCAGGACTCTAAATCTGACAGGTATATGCTGGAGATGATGCAAAGTGTGGTGAAGAGTTGAGTGTTGTGAAATAATGGCAGTGTCGTCTGCATAAAGTGCAAGATCGACAGTGGGTAATTGTGGAATGTCGTTTACATACAGGTTAAAAAGATACGCGCTAATTATTCCTCCCTGAGGGACCCCAGCAAGGATAGGGCGGGGGGAAGAGAGAGAATTTTTAACCTTTAACACAGAAATGCCGATTATTTAGGTAGGAGTGCATTAGTCGCACAAAGTCAGCCGAAAGTCCAAGTCGCATGAGCTTGTATATTATGCCGATGTGCCAACACCTGTCGAATGCCTT